GCTGGAACAAAAATATTAACTAAAGATTAAGATGTGTAAACCCTTATATTAACACTGTATTTTTGTTTGGTATGGTTGCCGGTGCAAATATTTTTTGGTGCACATGTAAAATTCAAAATGACACGTGTTCATTTTATTTTTTTGGTAAGCTGTGTATATTGCAGTCAAATAATATAACTTATTGTGTATGCAACATGTTAGAGACCAAATTTAAAAAAAATACATATGGAAAGATCAAAAGAACTTTTTCTTTTTATGTGCTATGTCCATTCAGGACGTAGGCGATCATAGCTCTCCACCCCCTTCTATCCCTTGCAGCTCTCAACAAGTTCCTTCCCTCTGCCACCCCCCCAGACCCTGTTCTGTCATCCACTTGCTTAAGCTCGCCAAATATGACATCTGCTGTTTTCCCTTGTCTCTCTTTCCCTTTATTCGACCTGTGAGTATCAGATTCTCCAGGCCTTTCTTCCTCATAATGTGCCCCAAAAACTTCAGCTGCCTCTTCCCGATGTTAAGCAAGAGCCTCCTCCTCGTGTGCATCTTCTCCAAGACCTCATCCTTGCTCACACGCTCGGTCCATGAAATCCTCAGCATCCTTCTGTAGAACCACATCTCCGTCGCCTCGAGTTTCTTCTTCATCTTTGGGGAAATCGCTGTCGTAAAGAAGAATGGATGTCACGTGACAGCTCAGTATTCTTTTCTTTGTTACCAAAGAAATCCTCCTGTCTCGCAATACTCTGCCCAGCTTTTGGAATGCGTCTTTGGCCATCTCAATACGTCTACGGATCTCAGTGTCACACTTACCGTTCTCTGTCAAGACGCTTCCCATATATTTAAACTTCCGCGTCTGCTTGATTCTGGTGTTCCTGACCTTCAAATCGCATTTCGGGCTCTTCCTCTTACTGATGACCATGAATTCTGTTGTTATAGACAAGTGTATGGTTGCAAGAAAGAAATACGACAACAGTAGAAATAGATTTTACGTGATTTATTTCAACAGGAACGTAAGGGTTTAGGACAGCTACCTTGGTGTGGTAAAGTTCATAAGCCGGCTTTCGGATCTAGGTCGATCTCTCATAGTAGTTCACACATGTTGACGGTGGTTGACGCTCTCCTGCTGACAGCTGCTAAACGTGACCGGTCTCCTTTGTGGCCACCTGTTGACTGCTGCTGAACTTCCCTGTGACCCCTTTTATAGTGTTTTTTTATGGCTTAACAGGCTCGAGAAACGAAGCAAGTATAATTAGGAGGGAAGCATTTTTATTGTACAAAAAAATAGAGCACTTTAATTATTATTTTATTTTTCGACCGGAACACGTGTGTCGGAAACATTTGTAAAGAAAGATAATGGTCATTTTGTGACGGGGTTTTGTCCCGTTCACATCCGGTTCTCGCTCTTGAGTATTTGCCTGTAAATCAGCCGAGATATGTCATTTTATTTTATAACACTGTCTTCTTGTATTTTATGCTTAGTCCTTTCTTCTCTCCGTCGCTAACTTCTGTATGAGATTTTCTACATTCTTTTCCGAGTCCGATATGAGTACTGTCATCTGCGTATTGAGATTGTGGCCGTCATCTGGTTGTTGAGATTGTGGCCGCTGACGCTAAATCCCGATAGGGTTTCCAACTCTCTCAGATTTGCCTCGCTGTACGGGTTGAACAGGTCTGGCGAGAAGACACATCCTTGCCTTACGCCCCTTTTCTATTTGTGTATATTCACTGAACTCCTTCCCTATGTGCATGCATGCTGTTTACTGCCAGTATAGGTTCTTGATTATTCTGATATCTTTCCCGAATATATCAAGGTTGCTGAGCAGTTCCAGCAGATCGTACTCTGTGACGTACTCTGTCGAAAACTTACTGAAGCTTTAAAAAATCGCACAGTTGAAACCTATAATGATGGGGAAGGCTACAAAAAGCTACCAAAATGATTTGAAGTGCACTTCTGCACCGCGCAACAAATTATTTATAAATGGCAGTTTGGTATGACGGCATCATCATCAAGAAGTGTCCGTCCGCGAAAAATGACTGCATGAGCAAGTAGACCCCTAGTTTGGCAATCCCAAGAAAATGTTTCTGTGACTTTTATGGTTCTCCAATGCTCACTGTACAATGTCGGAATCAATGTGCATAACCGTGAATTGAAGGTCGTTATCAACGAATTCTCCTCCAGTTCCTATCCCACGAACGCAGGTGTTCCCCAAGGCTCCATCCTAGGCTCTACTCTTTTCCTTATCTTCATCAACGATCTTCCTGACGCCATTGATTCCCAAGTAGGCATCTACGCGGACGACACTATAATTTACTCCTGCCTCAAAAAACAAATCTAGTGTCGCTGACAAAACTAACCTGGCCGTGCGTCTCAAAAAAGGACCTCCAATCGGTTGTGAACTGGGGCAGGAATTGGCTGGTTAACTTTAATGCCTCAAAAACAAAACTGCCCTCTATTAATCACCGCAGAGATCCTTCTCTACCCTCCTATTAAATGCCTGACGTTCAACTTCTCGAGAGCAACTCTCTGCAGCTGCTCGGTCTCACATTGTCTGCTGACCTGAGATGGAACAATATACATTGAGTCAATTGCTTGGTCCACCGCAAGAAAAGTTGGCTCCCTGTGCCGCGCCAGGAATTTTTTCTCCCCGGAATCGTTCCTTCAAATCTACAAATCAACCATTCGCCCTTGCATGAAGTATTGCTGCCATATATGGTCTGAGCCTCTTCTGTTTGCCTCGGGGTTCTTGATAAGATCCAGAGACGGATATGCAATATAATTGGCCCTGATCTGGCATCTCGTCTGCAGTCGCTCTCTCGCAGGCGAGTTGTCGCCTCTCTATGTCTTTTTGTTACAAATACTTTCATGGAAATTGCTCCGAGGAGCTGCATTCGCTGGTTCCCAGACTTCATGAATTCAAGCGCCCTACCAGGCTGGCATCCCGCTGTCACCCTTTCACTGTTGAAACTATTAAATGTAGCCGTCTCTTCTACTCCAATAGCTTCATATCTCGCACATCTCCCTTCCCTTTTCCTGTTTCCCTGATAGCTATAACCTCCAACTATTCAAATGTAATGTCAATCGACATCTCCAGTTGCCTTAATCTATGCACTATCCTTCTCCTGATCCTATCACTCCTATCTGCTCTCGCTCTAAATCCTCTGTAACCCCTTGCGGGCTAGTGGCTTCCAGCTTTGCTTGGGGTGAAATGTTGATTATTTTAATACAAAGCTATAACCTTTGATATACGACGTAGGATTTATTTCTTTCGTCTAATGATCTTACTTATTATAAAATGCAGATTGTGTGTGTGTGTGTGTGTGTGTGTGTGTGTGTGTGTGTGTGTGTGTGTGTGTGTGTGTGTCTGTACGTTTATATATTGGATCAGATTTCCTACATTTTTCAACCGATTTCAACAAAACTTCATAGTACTGCATAAAATTGTGGTGGTTCTGACGGTGCCAAAAATTGGAAAATCAATTGTTTTTGCATGAAATCAATTTGAAAACATGATAAAACACGATTCTGTCGCCAGAATGAAAGGGGGACAACTCATATCGAGTTATACTTATTATAAAACCCAGGTTGTTTGTGTGTGTGTGTGTGTGTTTGTGTGTGTGTTCATTTATATATGGGATCGGATTTCCTACATTTTTCAACCGATTTCAACAAAACTTCACTTTTTTTGGCAGGTAGTGTTTCTTATTGTCTTGCACACTTTTTTCTTTATTTTTACATTCAGAATGCTTTAAAAATTCCATTTACAAGACAATTGTTTATAATAAAATTCTATTCAATCGATAGACTCATAACGATTGAAAACAATGTTTTTGTTTGGGTTTGACCAATTCATAAAAAAAAAAACAAACAAAAAACTAGTTAAGACATGCGTGTCCGTCAACCTTAAACAATAATCTTTGTCAATTTTATTTTTCAGTCTTTATGATGGTCGATACTTGATCTATCTCTTACTGTTACATCCCTGGGCAACGCCGGGCTCTAATGCTAGTTACATATAGTGATATAGCAAATACTAAAAGCATCTGTAGAAATTAATCGATGATTATAAAACTAGCTTTTTAATGTAACCCTTATATACAAGGTAAGTAATTCCCTCTAACGATTGCATATATACTGACATAACAAATACTAAAGTTTTTAAGAGCTTTGTTGCTGGAAAGGTGGAACTGGAAACAACAGCAATTAAGAGGTGATTCCACGCTCCTGAAAACCTCCAATCTCCCGATCAGAGGCCTTGCTGCCGGAAGCGTAGACCTGGGAACAACAGCAATAATGAGGTGATTCCACGGTCCTCAAAGCATCCAATCTCCCGATGAAAGGCCTTGCTGCCGGAAAGGTGGACCTAGAAACAACAGCAATTAAGAGGTGATTCCACGCTCCTCAAAACCTCTAATCTCCCGATCAGAGGCCTTGCTGCCGGAAAGGTGGACCTGGGAACAACAGCAATTAAGAGATGATTCCACGCTCCTCAAAACCTCTAATCTCCCGATCAGAGGCCTTGCTGCCGGAAAGGTTGACCTGGGAACAACAGCAATTAAGAGACGATTCCACACTCCTGAAAACCTCTAATCTCCAGATCAGAGGCCTTGCTGCCGGAAGCGTAGACCTGGAAAGAACAGCAATTAATAGGTGATTCCTCCAGTCATAATCGCCTTGCTGTTGGTTGCAGTTTTTTGTCACATCCAGGACATTCTCCTTAAATAAACATCTGTTTTTTAAGACAAAAATATCGTGTGTAACCTGTGCAAAATATTGTCAACGCACAAATTGGCACGTTTTTAATGCTAGGCATTATATATAATAAACATACTTTCATTTCCACGTCAATTCATTTAATATTTGATCTATTTTCGCATTTAATATTGGTAAGTGCAGGAAAATCTTAATCCACAGTGGTATGATGTGGAAAATTGCAATAAATTATTCAGTGCTTTACTAACTGTTGAAGGATATTCCTCTTCTATGACGGCTTACAGCCTCATCACGTCAAAGCACCGGTTTCCATACGAACACCGAAGTTAAGCAACATCGTGCCTGGTCAATACCTAAATGGGTGACCCCCTTGGAATCACTTATCACTTGGAAACAGGACGAGCCTGGGTACCATCGCCTGCTAAAATCAGATATAAAAACTAAACTACTCTCTATTAATCAACTGTGAAACTCCTCTCTGCCTTCGATTTGCATGGCTGATGCTAACCTTGGAATACCAGGTGCTTGGATGTGTAGGTAATGTAATGGATAATGGCTCGGAATTGTTAATCGGAGAACGGAGTTTGAAGTTGGGCTCGTTATATTCACTTAGGCGCAAGTACCCTTGGGTAAGATATAAACCCATCACTTCTCCCCCAGATATGGGTTAAATAATCAGACTTGTATTAACAAAGCATTATTATTTCCGAAAAAAATTCTTACAATGTAAAAAAAAAATCTGACTTTAAATAATCTGCAAAGGAGTGATAAGCCTTAAAAACTAATCAATCGTCTTTTTAATAGAAATCGCAAACTGATGAATTTCTATTAAAGATGATTGATTGAATGGTTTTGACGGTTTATCACCCCTTTGTAGGTTATTTAAATCCAGAATTTTCTTGTTTTTAAGTTGTAAGAATTTTTTTCGGAGATGATAATGATTTGGTGCCACAAGTCTTATTATCTGCAGATTGTGGTTTACAAATAATCAATCGTAAACCACGATCAACTGATATAATAATCAGGTTATCTTCTTCTGTTAACGAATAAGACAACGTCATCCGTTAAAATGCCAACTGACATAGAGATGGAAGACATGTGTTTGGTGCTTGCGGCTTTTTAAAAATAAAGAATTTTTAAAATATAAAAATGAGTTTACCATACGCCCTTTGATTTTGAATATTACGAACGTTTCCACAAAAAAAAAGAAAAACGGGATGAGCCTGGGTACCATCACCTGCTAAAATACACATATAAAAACTAAGCTACTCTCTATTAATCAACTGCGAAAAACCCTTTCTGCCTTCCATTTGCACGACTGATGCTAACCTCCAGGAGAATGACTCGTTGCACATTCTCGGGTTAACTTTTTTTCTTCTTTGTTCGCCCGAGAGACAATATAGACGTTGAGCAAGAAATCACCAATCAGAGCGCAGCGCCTTACAATACATATTTGTCGCAACGATTCAACTGTCATATCAATGTTGAAATTTACACATCAATTCATTCAATCAAGTATTGTATTAAATACATATCAAAGGGGTCAGATCAAGCTATTTTCGTACACACCCCACTACTGAAGTTTTTTCCCTTTGATTTAAACTTAAATTAAATTTAAACAAGAGAAGGACTCCTATCCAAAATATAGAAGGAGAAAGCCAAAAGATGGAGGTCACATCGGCAAGATCAAAATGAGAAAATATGGAAGTTGAGCAAGAAATCACCAATCAGTTGGTAGGGCCTTAAAATACATATTTGTTGCGACAATTCAACTGTCATATTACATCATCAACATCATTGAGTAATATTAAAATGCAGCATCTTTCTCCACAAATTATAAAAATGATTTAAAATCAATCATCATTTTCTTACAAAAAATGTGGTACATGCGGCAAGGAGCGGGCAAGTCAGCTAGTCAGATAATATTTTCATTTCTTTTTCAACCTTTTTATTTATTTATTTTTTTCGATAAAAAAATAAGCAAATTGATTTGGACTGTTGAAACTCCCTGTTTCCGATTTAATCACATAACTGCGTATTTATCTACCTCTTTACTTATCAACCGCCCCCCCCCACCCCCGCCCCGCCGTCTTTCATCACTCGTTTGCCTTCCATTGGATTAACATATAATCCTTTCCTTTCAACGTCAGTCGAATAAAAGCATTGTACAAAACATTGCCGTGTTGACTTTTAACTCTCGACTTCTAAAGATCAAAGTTTTCTCGGGTCTTTCTTCCAATCGGGACACTGGCAAAACCTGTCAATATTACGACATTTCAATTGAAAATGTTTCCCATTCAATCAATAGGGGCTTTTGGTGTGTATTGTAGGAATCAAAAAGTACTGAAAGAAAGAAAGAAAGAAAGAAACTGCGATAGATAGATAGATAGATAGATAGATAGATAGATAGATAGATAGATAGATAGATAGATAAAAGAAAAAAGACAGAAACAGACTGAGAAAGAAAGAAAGAAAGAAAGAAAGAAAGAAAGAAAAAATAAGACTGAGATAGATAGATAGATAGATAGATAGATAGATAGATAGAAAAAAGACAGAAACAGACTGAGAAAGAAAGAAAGAAAGAATGAATGAATGAATGAAAGAAAGAAAGAAAGAAGAAAGAAGAAAAAATGAAAGAAATTGACTGAGATAGATAGATAGATAGATAGAAAAAAGACAGAAACAGACTGAGAAAGAAAGAAAGAAAGAAAGAAAGAAAGAATAAATGAAAGAAATAGACTGAGATAGATAGATAGATAGATAGATAGATAGATAGATAGATAGATAGAAAAAAGACAGAAACAGACTAGAAAGAAAAGAAAGAAAGAATGAATGAATAAAGAAAGAAAGAAGAAAAATAAAGAAATTGACTGAAATAGAAGATAGATAAAAAAGACAGAAACAGACTGAGAAAGAAAGAAAGAAAGAAAGAAAAATGAAAGAAATAGACTGAGATAGATAGATGATAGATAGATAGATAGATAGATAGATAGATAGATAGATGAGATAGAAAAAGACAGAAACAGACTGACAAAGAAAGAAAGAAAGAAAAGAAAGAATGAATGAATGAAAGAAAGAAAGAAGAAAAAATGAAAGAAATTGACTGAGATAGATAGATAGATAGATAGATAGATAGATAGATAATAGATAGATAGAAAAAAAAGACAGAAACAGACTGAGAAAGAAAGAAAGAAAAAAAGAAAGAATAAATGAAAGAAATAGACTGAGATAGATAGATAGATAGATAGATAGATAGATAGATAGATAGATAGATAGATAGATAGAAACAGACTGAGAAAGAAAGAAAGAAAGAAAGAAAGAAAGAAAGAATGAATGAATGAAAGAAAGAAAGAAGAAAGAAAGAAGTAAGAATAAATGAAAGAAATTGACTGAGATAGATAGATAGATAGATAGATAGATAGATAGATAGATAGATAGATAGATAGATAGATAGAAAAAAGACCGAAACAGACTGAGAAAGAAAGAAAGAAAGAAAGAAAAGACAGAAAGAAAGAAGAAACAGACTATGACAGAAATAAAGAAATAAGGAAGGAAGGAGAGAAAGAAAGAAATTTCATTTAATTTTCATTCAAACTCTTTACAATTCGAATAAATGTTTTTCAAACAATTGTTTTCGAACAATGTTCACCTAATTGTTTTAAAGAAGACCACCCTTCGACAAACCTCGTGGCTGACGCTACAGAATCCCAAAGCAGCACCTGTGCCAAATAACATAAACCACATCACTTGAGGACTTTCAACAACATATGTTAACATATGTAACTTTTAAGTTTCACCTGCTATCAATTTCAGTTTTTTTTTCTTAGAGATTTTCCCCATATGAGTCCGTCAATACAATTCATATATTAATATTAAACATTATATTTATTTATTTTCCTTTCATTTAGTTAAGTGTCACATGTGATACACGCTTGGGCGACCATTTCTCTTTCGATACATGACTGACGAGGCTATTTCTTTCCCGCATGAGGTTGCCATTTCTCTCTGTGAACCAAAACTAAAAAGTTTCCATTCTGTCCTGCTGTTCAACGGAAGTGTTGTATTCATAACTTTGGTATTTGTGCGCAGGTTGATCTAATGAACTCGACTGGAATTCGAACTCGGTTCTCTGAGTTCCCACTCCGAGCCGATATCCATTACACCACAACGCACATTTTCCCGCGTTTATCTACCGGGTTGCTACCGCATGCCCAAACTGGGTCTGATTTCATAATTTTCCTTCTCCTAGACTGGTTGCCAACCAAGACTGAACCGAGCACTACTTTTCAACCCATATCTGCACGAAAGGGAATATAACGAACTGGCGTCTCGTAACCAGTAGCTTCGGTTAGATGGAGCTTGTCATCCCGGGAGAACTGTCCATCTAAGGGAAGGAAAACCTTGATTTTAAACCTTCGCTGGCTTGCGGTTATATCCAAAGCCTACAGACGTAAATCCAGACAGAAAATCTGGAGTGGAGACTCCAAAGCGATTGGCTATCAACAGACAACTTTTCAGCAACTCCTGCAGATCAAACCAGCCCCAGATATAATGGCCTTGTATTCTTTTGGATGCAATCGGTACGGCCAAGATGGGGAGGTCATGTGGTCTGGGCAGGGCACGGAATCCTTTTATCAACCCCTTAGCCTTGCCCTAGAGAGGTCACTCCTATCTCAGCAGCAAGTAAGAACACAAAATGACTGAATTTTTGATTTAAAAAAAGAGGCTACCATTATCTGGCGACTTAAAAGGATGTCTACAGGAATATAACGGATTGACTGGAACACAAATCGCCGATTTTATGTCCGGAGCCCCTAATCATGAAACCACCAGAACACACCTTCTGATTTTTACTTGATTGAAATTCTGAGAGTTTTTCTTTCTTTTACAATAGAGGTAGAGGTTTATGTTAAGGAGTAGTTTATACGGATAGGATAACGGTTAAGAGTAAGAGGCACAGTTCATGCAGATATGGGTAGAAGATAACGGTTAACCCTAGACTTGAACAGGTTAAGATTGTAGTTCTCAGGGAATCATCTATTTGAGAGTTGGTTCCACAGAGCAGTGGTTCGTGAAAAGAAGCTGGTCGATGCGGATATTTAATTAAATTAACGGTTAACCCTAGACTTGAACGGGTTAAGATTATAGTGATCGGGAAAGCATCCACTTGGGAGTCGGTTCCACAAGTCAGTGGTTCACGCGAAGAAGCTGTTCAAGCGGAAATTAATTCTCACCAATGGAATACGTAGAGAATGTGGGTGATTTGCTACAATGTGACTGGCATGGCTAAAACTGGCGGTACCAAGAAATGCAGTTCGTCCGAGCACTTTCCATGATAAAGCACTGAGAGTCTCGCCACATCCCTTCTATGAGAGAGAGATTAGTGGGTGGGAAATAACTCTTCTCAAGAAGGACTCGGGGACGCTTTTGAACTCTATCAAGACCCCGCCCAAATATAGCAACATTATTTCATTTATTGGCCCCTTCTTAGAGAATTAATTGGGCCAGTATAAAATTTATTCTAATCCAGCGTTACGTATTATTTTTACTGTAATTATTATTCGTGATGTTTACTATTAGTTTTAAAAAGATTTTATAGCCTTTTTTTTTTTAATAAATAAACATATAATATTTTCGCCGTAAATGAGTGACAACACATCAATGTTGAAAAAGAACATCTTAAAACCTGGCCAAAATCATCAGAACCAATTTCGATAATAGCATATTCTCCCTGATGCAAATGTCTACGAAGTCAAGATGGCTGATTACTCTCTTTTGGTATTGCAGAGAAAAACGGGCGTGATTACTTCTTTTTGCAATAACAACGTCGTTTGCATAAGAAGAAAAAAATTCCTTGGTGTGAAAATGCCTGAAGTTAAATTTTCAATCAAGCAAAATATTGATTTCTTTTCGAAGCTGTTTTTAAAATGCTTCTGTTTCTCGGGATATTGTATTCGTAACGGCTCTCTAGATATTGCAATTCGTAACGTCTGTTTCTCGAGATACTGCATTCATAACCATGTTGTCAATAGACAGCCATCTAAATTATTCAACGTTAGCAATATTTTATTTATAATGTATTTGCCCGTGAATTAACTTGCCACTATAATTCGTCTGGCCCAGTGTTTAGAACGTTGGCTGTCCGATTAAGAGAAGGCTTACGACCACATCACGTTAGAACAGCGGTTCCCGTATGATCACCGAAGTTAAACAACGTCGAGATTGGTCAGCACCTGGAAGGGTGAATTCTTGGGAACACCAAATGCTGTAAACTTGGATGTGCGGGTGGTGTAATGGATAATGTTCGATAATTGTTAATCGGTAGGCCGAGTTCGAATTCCTTTTTGTTCGTTATATTCACTTACGCGCAAATACCCTTGAAAAAAGTATGAATCCACCTATTCCCCCAGCTATGGGTTATTTAGTAAGATTTGCATCACTAAACTATTATTATGTTTAAAAATAAAATTTTAAATCTAAAGATATTTTTGGGTTTGAATAACCTGCAAAGGGTTGATATACCGTAAAAAAAACAAAGCAATCGTATTTTATTAATGTCGATATGTACTATCCAGTGGGAGTCGTTCCCGACTCACTGGGGAGCCGTTTCAGACACGAAAGTCAACATGTCTACATTGTTTGACGTTCTAGAAACAACTCTCTGAAACCTTTTTCCTCTCTCCTTTCTGTTGAATTGCTGAATTAAAAAGTGTCTTTTGTTTAAAAAATTTCAAGAACAAAAACAAAATGTGGAAAAAGTTGAGAATGATATTAGAAGAGAAAGAATCATCATGCAACAATGATTAAAAAAATCCTTGTTACATTATTTGTTTTGCATACGTCACATACTTAATTTAATGAATTTCCATTAACATTACATAATTTCTTTTTCCTTAAAATCAATTCCATTATATTTCACTCACCATTAGCTTATTTTGTTTACTATAAAACATTGAAAATAAATGTTAAACCTGATTTCAGTTCTTTTATTTTAATCTAAATATAACCTCTCATATCCGGACTTTGTAGCCAATGCCTCATATCCGGACTTTGTAACCAATTCCTCATATCCGAAAGGCCTTCTTAGTCCGGTTGTCAAGGATTATACTGTAATACATAAATTAATGCTAAAATAATGTAAATATTACAGTGTAACCCGGATATAAGAGAGTTGTCGGGACCGGAGAAGAAATCTCTTATATCCGGTTTTCCCTTATATCCGGGTTTGGTCTATTTTATATACATTAACACAGGCTCTAATTTGGGACCAGAGAAAATCTCTCTTATATCCGGGTTTCTCTTATATCCGGGTCTCTTATATCCGAGTTACACTGTAGTTACATTATTAAACAGAATTAGCAACATCCTTTACTCACTTTTGTTTATTAAACAATAGCAGGTTTCGCCATCTCACTATCGCTTCGCAAAGTAAGATATATTCACTACTTGAAATCTTTGAAACAAAAACGATATGGGCGGTTTTTAAGCTAGCTTATAATAAAACGCGCACTGCAATTTGGGTTTAGGATACAAAAGGTAAATAAGAGTTACTCCCCTTGAAGCATGAAAGCAACAATAATGGCTAGTATAATATATTAATATATATTTTTAACCTCGCATAATCTGGTAACCCTGAATCTGAGTTCAACGAAAATCTTTCGCTGCACCTAACTTTTCTAAAGCATTTGAATGAGACATGAATCATTGAAATCAGATCAGTGGAAGCGTAGGAGTTGCTTGGACACACTCACGCACAAACACACACATACATTGTACTTTATATATAAGATTAAATTACGTCACTTACTATCTTCCATAATTTATGAGCATTTCTTAAAATTTAAAATTTTGAAAGGCTAACATTTTTAATTCTGTTTAAAAAGACTTGTTGTAAAGTAAAACCCTTACATTTGCCTTGACAAAGTCCATCAGAGGAGGAAACGCGTCGGCTAATATAAATGTCCCTTTTCTCTTTATTCATATTGTCCTTTTACGGATATATTTTAGTTATATCTAAAATTGTACACACAAGCATATATACAGGGTTATTAAAAAAGAATGATCCGATTTCATTACGCAATATTTTAATAAGGAAAAGCAATAGAAATCTCCAGTCAAGTATTCTACTCATAATCAACTTTCAATAGTTCAATGGATTAAGTGCATTGACAAAGAAAGTTATCATGGTCAAAAATTGTTATTCGTTATGAATGCATTTTTCATTATGAATCTGTGGACTCATTGACGTATATACATATTTACCAGTGAATTAAGTGCATTGACAAAAAAGAGATTATATGATAAAATAAATAATTGTTATAAAAAATAAATACATTTTAATAATCAAACTATGGACGTATTGATGTACTTACATATTCACCACTGAATTAAGTGCATTGACAAAGAAGAACTTTTTGGGATGAAACGCAACAGGAAAACATTTTTCAATTTGTCATATATATATATATATATATATATATATATATATATATATATATATATATCCGCAATATTTTAATAAGGAAAATCAATCGAAAACTACAGCCAAGTCACAAGTATTCTACTCAATATCAGCTTTTATTTCCTGTCTTACAAGAGTTCAATAGATTAAGTGCATTTACAACGAAAATGATCATGGTGAGAATTTGTTATTTGTTATAAATGCCTTTTTCATTATAAATCTGTGAACTCATTGACGTATCTACACATTTACCAGTGAATTGAGTGCATTGACAAAAAAGATATTATATGATAAAATAAATAATTGTTATAAAAAATAAATACATTTTAATAATCAAACTATGGACGTATTGATGTAATTACATATTCACCACTGAATTAAGTGCATTGACAAGGAAGAACTTTTTGGGATGGAACGCGTCAGAAAAACGTTTTATTCAATTTGTCATAAATAGATAGATAGATAGATAGATAGATAGATAGATAGATAGATAGATAGATAGATAGATAAACCTAGTGAGTCAGACAAACCTCTCCAGGTTTCACCTAACCGGATCGTCAGCGAAAGCTGGCTAAAGAGGCAAATGAGAAACAGCATATTTATAGGCGATAATCAAAATCATACCATGTGACCAAAGAAAAAGAAAAACACAAGAAAAAAAAAACACTTCTTTAAAGACTTATTCAAACAACTAAAAGGGGAGTAAGCATGTGATAGTATCACACTTAAGAAAGCACAAATGAAATCTGTCATTCATTTACCTGATTTTCTCCACAATAACACAAAATACACCATCCAATGCTGACACTCATTTATCGTGCACGATAGGAGAGTCCACCATATATATATATATATATATATATATGAAGAAAAATATACGGAAAAAACAAACAAAAATCCTAATATGCAATTATGCTGTTTTAATGTTAATATAATGTCAACGTCGGACGTTTCGGTCTAATAGACCATCTTCAGGACATATTCATAAAACATAATTAACATCAAGATCAATCCAAACAGATAACTGAAATCTTTTATAAAATCAGCATTCCGTTTAAATATGATCACGTCGTCGTCACGTGGGCAATGTTGTGAAAACGTATTCCTAAAATTTGAGTATTTTGAATGAAAAACGAATTTTCATCTGTGAGGAGAATGTCCAGCATTCACTGCCATATAGGAGGACTGATATTGCATAACAGTTCAGTACTCTTTTCTTTGTTTCTCTTGCTTCAAGTCTCTTCTTCATCTGTGAGGAGATTGTCCATCATTCACTGCCATATAGGAGGACTGATATTACATAACATTTCAGTACTCTTTTCTTTTGTTTCTCTTGCTTCAAGTCTTTCTTCATCTGTGAGGAGATTGTCCAGCATTCACTGCCATATAGGAGGACTGATATTACATAACATTTCAGTACTCTTTTCTTTTGTTTCTCTTGCTTCAAGTCTCTTCTTCATCTGTGAGGAGATTGTCCAGCATTCACTGCCATATAGGAGGACTGATATTCCATAACAGTTCAGTACTCTTTTCTTTGTTTCTCTTGCTTCAAGTCTTTTCTTCATCTGTGAGGAGATTGTCCAGCATTCACTGCCATATAGGAGGACTGATATTCCATAACAGTTCAGTACTCTTTTCTTTGTTTCTCTTGCTTCAAGTCTCTTCTTCATCTGTGAGGAGATTGTCCAGCATTCACTGCCATATAGGAGGACTGATATTCCATAACAGTTCAGTACTCTTTTTTTGTTTCTTTGTTGTCTTTTTCTTCATCTGTGAGGAGATTATCCCACATTCACTTCCATATAGGAGGGCTGATATTATATAACAGTTCAGTACACTTTTCTTTGTTTCTCTTGCTTCAAGTCTTTTCTTCATCTGTGAGGAGATTGTCCAGCATTCACTGCCATATATGAGGACTGATATTACATAACAGATCAGTACTCTTTTTTTTTTGTTGTTGTTGTTTCTGTTGCTTCAAATCTCTTCTTCATCTGTAAGGACACTGTCCTGCATTCACTGCCATATAGAAAGACTGATATTACGTTATTTTCCAGTACACGTTTCTTGCTTAGCTTTTGGAAGGCATCTTTCGCTATCCAAAATCGCCTTCGGATTGCGGTGTCGTCCTTTCTGTTCTTAGTTAAAACGCTTCCCAGATATGTAAAGAGTTAGAATTTTCTCTTAGAAAACCGGATTAAACATGCCTATCTCTTATTGTTGGACATCAGGACTGGAAAATAATTGATTTTCTTCCCATAATTCTAATACCGACACAATTACTTCCACTGTAGGAGATTTAAAAGATTTCTGTTTTGAAATGATGGCGGTCGATTTAAACATCTGTGCCTTCCTCTGAATTGTGCTTACACTTCTCACCATTAAAATTAGGTGATTAAAACTTCCAGAGATCGGATTTTCTTTTTCTTTCTTCCTTTTTTTTATCATAAGTGATAATGAATTTTCCTTCAGTAAAAAAAGAAAAACGCTAAGTTATTGCTTCATGGGCCGCTCATGTCATCTCTCAATCAAACATCCCTTTATTTCTAAAACAAAATGAACAATTTTTTTTATTTGCTTAAATTGCAAAAATAACACTTTAGCTTTCGTCTCTATTAAGAAAAGGTCGACTATGAAACAAAGAAATGTAACTCGTCGGAACATTTTGCACGGAAATAGCGATAGAATAGAAAAAAGCTGTGCGTTTTCGACAGTGGGGAAACGGGTTGTAGAGTGGGAAATAATTCATCACCCACAAGAACGTGTAGACGCTTTTGAACATTATCAAAATTGGAAAGTGAAGACTAAGCAGC